GAGCAGTAGGTAGGGCGGCCAGCTGTCAAGTATTGAACCAGACAGTCCAGTATTGGAGCTTTCTGGTCAGGAAACAAATTGAGGAAATAGAAATGTCCGGTGTTTTCTAAATAAGATGAATGTAGATTGTGATATGTCAAGTGTGTCCAGTATTTTTGTTGAAACCATCTGGCAACCCTAGCAGCAGAACCTTTGCAGATTTGCAGTAGGTAGGGCGGCCAGCTGTCAAGTATTGAACCAGACAGTCCAGTATTGGAGCTTTCTGGTCAGGAAACAAATTGAGGAAATAGAAATGTCCGGTGTTTTCTAAATAAGATGAATGTAGATTGTGATATGTCAAGTGTGTCCAGTATTTTTGTTGAAACCATCTGGCAACCCTAGCAGCAGAACCTTTGCAGATTTGCTCCTTCAACTCTCAGTGCCTGGCCCAACTTAATTCCTTCTCTTCACTCCGCCAGATGGATCCTACTGTCCACCCCACAAAACCAAACCATTATGCATCCTAGCCTGTCAGCTTTAACAATCACCTCTGTGTTACTCTCTGCCAGGGATGGAACGGCAGGTGAGCTGTTAGGAATAACCATTACCCCTGCACCACAATCCCACTAAGACCATATGCAACCTATGTGAAGTTTAACATATGGAGATATACCATCTCATAGAACTGGAAGGGACCTTGAGAGGTCATCTAGTCTAGGCACCTGCCCTCACAGCAGGACCAAGTACCATCCCTGACAGATTTGCCTCAGATCCCTAAATGGCCAATGCTCAAACCACTGAGCTATCCCTCCCCCCATGAGTTCATGCCTTATTTTAGGCATGTATTTAACTCATCCCAAATTCTTTCCCCACGTCTACAGATACACATTTCATTGTGCAGGAGGTTGACCAATAAATGGAGTGAATCTTGAATAGCAAATCTACTCCGGGGAGCTGCACACAGGATTATAGTGAAGATATTACTGCCATCCTGTGGTTCATTTTAAGATATTCTTGTTCAGGGTAGGTTCCCCTTTGCCCCACCTTAACAGGAAGTAGAACTTGCAGTAGCTCTGGCTCCATACAGATATGGGCCCTATCCACTTCAGAAGTGGCAGCTAAGTTTTAATGCAGCCAAGGCAGTCAAGAGCACAGGATAGGCAGTTCTCTCCCCATTGCCTAGCACTGTTTATTGAAAAAAGGAAGCGGGGCTGGGGGACAGGAATGATTGCTCTCATACAAGGCCCACATTCAATCAAGCCGCCAACTCAAAAAATAGCATTAAAGTTAAAGGCCAGTCCCACCACCTATAGATCATGGCCTACTTTGGCAGAACTGTAGTAAGGAAAAGTTGCTTCTTTTTCCTACCCACTCTTTTGGCAGCACTAAGTAACGCCTGATACTTAGCATTGCTTTTCTCACACTAATGAAGCCTCCTGACCCACCGCGCTGTACAAATGTAACTGTCACAGAGAGCACCCCTCTTCAGAGAACCTTCCTCCCCATGCTCCCTGCCTCCCACACACTCCATGGCTTGGGTCTGCTACCCTGCAGATCCCTGCACTTGAAGCTGTGAAATTTCCTGGAGCCAAAAGCGGGTTAACACCTCATCTCTCATACACGCTTCTTAGCTTGTCTGTCCTTCCACACCAGCAAGGAGCTGCTATAGATACATCTGATGCGAACACATGAACCAAATTCCATTTTCCATTCTGTCACTTCTCTGCTCTCTGTGACAGTTACATTTGTACAGCGCGGTGGGTCAGGAGGCTTCATTAGTGTGAGAAAAGCAATGCTAAGTATCAGGCGTTACTCAGTGCTGCCAAAAGAGTGAGTAGGAAAAAGAAGCAACCAGGAACCTACAGGGCAGGAGGCAGTGTTGGGGTGGCCCTACTCCACGTTCCCAACCAGTCTTTGGCTATGTCTACACTCGCAGCTTCTTGCGGGAGAAATATGCAAATGAGCAGGGCTCGACAAACCGCTGTTTCTACTCGCCTGTGGCGAGATGATTACAGCCAGTCACCCCGTTCACCAGCGGCGCACGCATGCGCAATGCAGATCTTGCTCATGCTCGGTGCGGGGCTGGCGTGTAGATTGCGCTGCCTTTTGTCAAGCCCTGCAAATGAGGCTAAGCATGGAATATCGCCGAGCCTCCTTGGATACCTAATGAGCTTCCATTTTTGCAGAAGAGGCTCTTGCGCCAGAAGGAGCGTCTACCCTGCCCCTTCTTGCACAAGAAAAACCCTCTTGCGCAATGCCACTGTGCTGTTTATTTTCAGGAATAACGGCATTGCGCAAGAGGGCTTTTCTTGTGCAAGAAGGGGCAGTGTAGACAGCTCCTTCTGCAAAAATGGCACCTCATTAGGTGTGCAAACGAGGCTCAGTGATAGTCCACACTTAGCCTCATTTGCATATTGAGTGTAGACATAGTGTAGACATAGCCTTTGGGTCCTGGAAGACATGGGCATTAATAGAATGGTCACCATTGCATCTTCTCTTAATTCCTTTGCAGTTCTGCTCCATGCATTAGCCATCCCCTCTGACATCCTGATGAATGTCTTCCGTACAGCCTGGTTCTGTAGCTCACCTCCTTCCCAGCAAGCGGGTTACCTTTCCATTACGTGTGACACTCCTGATTTGTCCCCAGTGCCCCTCACACACACACTCTGCTGCTGTCAGAGAATATGGAAAGGTCACTAAGCATTCACGAGGATGAACACATCCCTTTCCCTAGCAGATGGCCTGGCTTCGTACTGCACTGGTCTCTTAGGTCAAGCCATTATCAATACAATACTACCAGGCCAAAGAATGACAGGCCAGGATCTTGAGACTCCTGCATGGAAGAGTTTTGCCAACAAGCTATCAGGATGGCTCACACAAGTCCTACCACGCACAGACTCCCCAATGGCTGACCTATGGCCCAGTATCACCCTGAGAATAATGCCCCCACTTTTCACTGTACAGATCAAGATGCAAAACTCAGTGGTAATTTATTTTTGTTAAGTGTCTAAGAATCCTTCAGCCTCCATCAGCACTTCTCTCCCTCAGGCCGTATAAATACGTTACGTACAGATACATGGGTGCATTTACAAAATGACCAGGTGCTAGGAGTGGTCCACTTGGCGGTCAGATGAGTTCGTTCACATTCAACAATAGCAGGGATTTCTCACTGCTGTGCGGAGGCCCCGGAGCAGGGATCTCAGCCCGGGCAGGGGTCGGAACAGGATGGAAGCTTGGACGTCACCTTCGGAGGAGGGGAGACTTCCGGCTGCAGGCAGCTCAGCCCCGTAGTTAAGGTTTGCGGGAGAGCAGCGAACTGGTCAGTGCTCCTCATCACCCCCATTCTGACCCCGATACCAAGAGCAGCCTGCAGGCACGAGAGGACGAGGGCGGTGGGAGAGAGTCAGCAGTGCCGTGGCAGCACCTTCTGGCTTCTGCACCCGCACACAGCAAGCGGCCAGCTTTCAGAACCAGACAAGCACACCCAGCGGGCCATGCTGGGCCAGGTTGTGGGGGGAAGGACCTGGAAACAGACACCAGAGCCTGCTAGGTCTAAGCCAGCTTCCATGAAGACCTGCCTCGAGGGAGAACTGTACCTCCTAAGCATGCTCCCCGCGAGGGGGGGTTGTGGAGAAAGCGTGCACCCCCGTGTTCGTGTCTAAGTAGGCTTGATCCACAGCTTCAACGGCACAGCTCTACAGGAACAGCACGTCTTCCCTCCCCCGCTGCCTGCCCTTTCCACCGAAGGGCCAGAAACCCCATCAAAGCAGACGACTCTAGGAAATCCAAACCAGCGTCCGGAGGCAGCGGGGGGAGAGCGTGGACGGCTCGTGGCAAGGAAGGCTCAGCCGCTGCAAATCCTTCCCGTCTCCGAGAGGTTCCCGTGGCCTCGGGGCGCTCAGCGCACAGGGAGGGGTTTCGAGCGGTGTTTCTTCACCCCCAGCGCCGGCAGGAAGTTTCTCCGGGGATGGGAGCCTTGTTTCTCCAGGGAGGCCTCCAGACTGTCAGGGAAGAGCAGAGGGTGGAGAATGTCAGGCTGGGGGCACGTGCTACCTGGTGAAATCCCAGAGCCGCCGGATCAGCCAGCCAGTCACACCGGGGCCCTGTGGCTCCCGGCTGGCCGCTGCCCCCCCCCTCCCCCCACAAGCCCCAAGGGCATGTAGCTGCACTGCTGTTCCCAGGAGCATTTCTCCAACTGCACCACTAGGGGGCAGTGGGGTATCAGCTTTATTTCCCCCCTTGACATGAATCACTCTGGTGCCCCAGACCAGACACCCCAGGCCTGGCCCCTGCTGCCAGGCTGCTGCTCCCAGGGCAGGGCGTAGCCATAGGTGGGCACCCCAGTTGCAGCCTGAGCCCCCCAATCCACAGGCTGACCCCAGCGCTGTGTAGGCCACATCCCTCTCCTTTCCTAGTCTCCAGACCCAAAGGGGGGTGCCTTGGCCAGTGGCGGATTAGCCCATGCCCAGGGGCCTCAGCCAATTGGAGGGACCTGGAAAAAAGGGCACCCGGCACCCTGACCCATTCTGCCTGCCAGCCTGACACTCCTGCCGGGCGTGGGAACTTACCCCCTCTGCAGCCAGGGAGCACTGGGCATGCCCCCAAGTCCGGGGCCCAGCAGGGGCACCAGGTAGAGGGGATTGCAGACCGAAGGGGTAGGGAGGGATCCCCATTGGTCCTGGCCCAAAGCCCCAAACTGTAATGTGCCCCTCGGGAGGGGGGGCGGCAGTGGTCCCCCACCAGCGCCCGCCCATCTGAAAGACAGGGCCCTGCAAAACCTGCTCTCTGGTGCCCCTCTCAATCGATGTATCTTAAAGAGCAGGCTAAGGGATGACTAGATCACAGGTGAACAGGGAACACGTTTCCCAGAGACCCGCCCGGCACGACCCCATGGCTGGAAGTTGCAGCGAGACACGTTCCGACCGGAAGTAAGGTCGGCGCTTTCCACCTGGAGCATCCTTAACCATTGAGCCGGCTTCCCAAGCTTCTCCGGCACTGAAACTTTTCCACTCGGGAGGGGCTGGTTTTCTAAGAGATCTGCTCTAGGGATTATTCCGGCCCCCTTGTCCGGCCCGGGCTGTGCCAGGGGCAGGTCGGTGTCACAATGGACCCGGAGAATCTGCACCAAACAGCCTGGCCCCTTGCTCCACCCAGAGGCTGGGATTAAGACGGACTCCTCTCCTCTCCTCCCCCCAGGGCTTGGGGGCTCTCCTGCCTGCCTGGCCTCTGTACCCGTGCCAGGGCGAAGGTCTCTTCGCAAAGAGCTGCCTTCCCCACCACCCTCAGCCTCACCTACAGTGTCTGCTCTCGACGGCGGACTCCCCGCACGGCAGCGGCTCGTGAGCCCGCAGAGATTTCCTGGTGATCCGGTTGATCAGCACTTTGACTTTCCCCCAGTGCGAGCGGTCGTTCTGCAAGGGGGAGAGACGGCAGCCGTCAGGGAAGGCGGGAGCAGGGCACCGGGCGTGCCAGGGAACATCCAGCCCCCCTGTTCTCTCCCTCAGGAGACATGGGCAGGGTGGAAGGGAGGCAGAGAACCCCAAACGCCTCCCCCGGGTACAGCCGTGGGGCTGGGGGAGCAGAGCTGGTGGGTCCTGGCCCAGTGTGGGAAAGGAAGGTCACCAGACCGACAAGCACATACAGCAGCAGGATCCTTGTTCTCCCTCCCCCCTCCCATCTCCGAACCTACCCTGGGTCTCCTGCTTGGTGGGAGGGTCTGGGCTCCCCAGTCCGGCTGATCCAGCAGGGTGGGCGAGCTGACGCAGTGCCCTGCCGTCTTCCGGGAGCAGGCTGGCTCATTCTCTGCAGGGATGAGAGCGCAGGGGCCCCTGCTGAGTGCGAGCGACCGGCCCCCATGCCGCCCCATGGAGAGAGCCCAGGCCCTCCAGCACTAGGGTGGCCAGATCCTGGGGTCCCTAAGTCCACGGCCTCAGAGCTGCCCGCCCACCCACCTCATCCACCCAGCTGCATTTCAGAGCCCAGGCCTTTGGAATGCCAGAGACCCTGGCCTGGGCATTTGCCGGGGGTGGGAGATAGATTCCTGGGCTGAGATTTCGCTCCCTCCCCCCGCCTAGCGGGGGCTGCACACCCAGCCCCAAGGGGGCACAGGGCATGGCTGGGGCAGCCAAGGGAGCTCCTGCCAGATCAGAAAGGGGAGGGCGCATATTTATGGGAGGGCAGAGAAATTCTTAGCAGCTGCCCTGTCCCCCCCCCAAGGAACAAGCCATGCCAGCAAGGACATTCCTTTGCACAGATTAGGTTCCATTCATTTCAGAGGTTCTCCTCCTCCCCCCCGCCCTCCTACTCTGCCACAGGTCGGGAGCTCCTGGACATGCAGGGGAAAGGATTGGGCCTCCGAGCTGCCACTCAAGCCGGGCTCACCCACCTGAGCTCCTGGTCAGGTCCTGCAGCATCCCCGTGTCGGAGGCCGAGCGCGCCCTGAAGTGATGGGGCCGCCAGGCTGCCAGAGGCAAATCCTCCTCCTGCATCTCCACCTCCGCCCTGCTCCCAGGCGCCGGGTTGGGCTGGGCCGGCTCCTGCTCTTCTGGAGCGCTGCAAGACCTGTCCTCAGCGGGCACGGCCTGCCAAGCAGAGAGGATGCATGGAGCGGAGCAAGCGGCTGTAGCGACCGGGAAGGGGGCGGGACTTATGTTCTCTCTAATAGTTTCCATCCATGTGGGGAATACATTTTGCTACATGCACCAAAACACGCATAGATGTGCACCACCCATAAAACACGCTGCCGGCGCTCTGCTAAACATCCGGACAGAGCCTGAATCTCTCCTGGGTGAGGGCCCAAGCGCTCAGCTTACAGGGAAGGCTGGAGCGGGGGGGGGGGGGGGGCGGAGCCGCTCGC